AAAAGGTCCTTTTTCTTTTTAGTCCAAGGAGATCCTGGACATGGTGCTAGTGCATACAAAAAAATATTATGAATAAGCACACGGCTTCATTAAAACACAGTGCAGTTTGACAGTCTACTGAATGTGTTTTAGCTATAACAGCCTTAATCATAGCTTGAGTGATGAAGGTATGATTAAGGCCATTATAGCTGAAATGCATTAGCGAGGCTCTTACACTGCTGTGTGTTTTTATGGAGCCATGTAAATAGTCAATAAAAATGTTTCTACTGTGTGCAGAATCATTCCTCGGACCGATGCCTCGGATGTGGAAGCCCTGGACAGAGCACTGGCAAGTCCTGACAGCAGAGCAGTTTCTTTACCTATCGTTTGAATTCTCTCTTTAGCATCACATGCACAGACAACCAGGCTTGTGTATGTATCTTATATACTCGACACCACACAATCGAGAGTATGAAATTCACTGTGTGAAGGTACATTAAATATGCACAGAATGCTCACCTCTTCCTTCTGTAACACTCTCCAAGATCTTCTCTTCTTCTTTCAGCTGCTTCTCTTTGGCAGACTCTTTCCTAGCTGTGAAAGAAACCCACTAATTAATACAACATCCAATCTTTGTTTCATTATTATGTATCACAAGTTGTGCAGATAATCATCACACAACACATACAGAAGACTTTCACGCACCTTCTGCCTTTTCTTTTAAGTGTTGATGCTGATCCAAGAGACTGACATTAGATCGGGGTCCCAAGGGAATGTCATCTTCATCCCCTCGCTGGTCACTTCCACTGTCTTTCTGGTCTTCTTCAATAACACCCTTCTTTCGCATCTGCAGTCGCTTTTGGAGCTGCAATGATGGAACCCATGAACATCCATTTCATACATTAAACATAAATGTGATGAGAAATCTATGTTGTGATATCAAACAATCATATTTTGTTTCCAAGATCCCCAATACGCATTCTGGACTGCATACAGAGCATCTATCCAACCAAATTTCTGAACTGAGAGGGGGCTTGTCTCCAATCAAACTTCTAAACTGACTATTGGAGCATATCACTCAGCTAATTCACCACCACTGTATCCACCTTCCTAGCTCCCCTCAAGAAGCTGTAGTTAAATTACAACTGAAGCACCTGGAAAAAAGGTACACTAATCTATATGACTCACATATCACTATGGAACTAATCTAAAAGCTATTCAAATGTTAGACTTTATCTTAACTTGAAACCGTTACAGAATTGCCTTTAAATTGTGCTAACCAGGGAAACCTGTCAGAAAATCTAAATTTTAGAATGCTTAATCTGAAGCAGTCTGGGTGACCTTTGAAGACAGGGAACACCAGGGAAAAAGAAATACCAATCTCCCTTTTTGCCTCACGTTTTACTATGAAGCTTATGTAGAAACAATTCAAAAATTAGGTCTAAATTTAACTTGAAACCATCAGGGAGGTGTTTTTGATGAGTGCTAACTTGCATTATATATTAAAAATAAAAAAGTGAAATCTAACACAAAATCAACTTGTCTGATAAAGCTGAAGTATCCAGAGTCAGACTGAATCTTGCAGAAAATACATACAATAAATTGGGTTTTACAAGGGGGAAACCCAGCTCTCTGGGTTCTGTCACTAGATAATCCAGATTCAATACAATACCAAATTGGCACTATCCTGCTACATTCAATGATTGCCTTGGTTGTAAATGTAAAATAATTTGACCGGCTTCATGCATTGCACAAATGATCATTTAATCATAACGTAAGAAACCAGAAGACAATATACCATCTGAGCTCTCCTGTGTTTAAGGGGAATATAGGGCACATAGTCCTCATCTGACAGTTCAGGCTCTTCATCCTCTGGGTGGGTTCTCTGTGGAAACACAAGCATTACGTTATTGCAATACCCTTGTAGCTCTTCCTCTGCTTCTTTATAAAATAAATGACAATCCTAGTGGGTTTTAGATATCAATCTGCCCTGCTGGCCTGGCAATAGAGTGCAAAATAGCTTAGGGCTCTTTCAATATGTTTCACATTCCTATCATTATTATTATACCGGATTTATATAGTGCCAACAGTTTGCACAGAGCTTTACAATATAAAGGTGAACATAACAGTTACAATACAAATCAAGATTGTAAGGAGGGCCCTGCCCGTGAGAGTTTACAATCTAAAGGGGAGGAGCAAGTGATACAAGAGATGGTCATATAAGTAGTATTTTAATTTTGCAAGATTAAATTAAATAATACTTTTAGAGGGTTAAATATTTCCACTTGGTCATACTTAAAGTGCCAAAATAACTGCACCCAAGCGCATCCTGGAAAATAAAAGCATTAACCAGGCAAAAAATGTCCATTTAAATAAAGGATATATGTTTCCAAAGAGTTCCATTTTCTTTCAAAACCAAGGTGGCACCATGAACAGTAAGATCCTTGTTCCACACAAGACATCTGAGCTTCTCCTAGACTGAACTGGTTTTGATCATATAGAAAAAAAAATGACAAGGGCTGAAATTCCCTTTTGGCTGAATAAATCATCAGAGCACCATCTATTGGCATTGAAGATATAAGAACTGCATACATTTAGCGCAGGGCCTGCATGTTACCACTGCATTTGTTCCTGGCGCAGGATGAGCTAAGAGTGCTGCCAAATAAAGTTTAAGTGTCAGAGGTTAGTTTAGGAACACTATAGGGGGTATGTAAAGTGTTAGGTTTGCTAAGGTGGTTCTCAAGAAAACTCAGCCCACTGCTTTGGCATACATGAAATCCTGTGCATACACGTTTTTGCTTCAGGTCCTCCCTCATCTGAATAGATGACCAAGATAATATAGTGGGATCCTGAACTGCAGTGTAGTGAAGGGGTCTGCCCAACACAGGATACAAGGCAGGCTGAGGTAGCCCTAACTGGCTATAAACATTGAAGTGGACACGTTGAATAAGGTTAAGCAGCTTCACACAGTCTGAAGTGTGTGTGTGTGACCCTACTACACACACATAAGCTGGCTACAACTAACACGGCCTCCCCTTTCCATCGCACTGCATAAAGACTGTAACTGAACAGCACCGCTGCTGTGAGCAGACATTCCTATATCCTTATTATAATAAGATCCCCCTTATAACGATTAATTTTCTTCGAAATTCCCACTCACTTTTCTCTCGTTGTTATTGTTCTCCATGACGTCAACAAAACGACTCTCTCTGCGGCGACACTTCCGCTGCCGCTCGCCTACTTCCGGCGCCTTCTTATCGTCACACGATCCCGGCCAATCGCTGCAACTGTATGCAATAACACATTAAAAAAACGCTACGAACGTGTACAGTGTCCGAAGAGGGACAATCAACATTCAAATGCGCATGTCAGGGCAATTGCTTTTTTTTTTTGTGTGATTAAATAAAATTCGGATTTGCTGTTCAAGTCGCGAATCGCACGCTCGGCATTCAAACAGTGAAATCCACGTTGTATTAATTTATCCTCACTATTCTTCAATAACCTCCAAAGTGCAAAAATCCTTTACAATATTAAACTGAATGAAGGCTAGTGCAACAAATGCATTGAGGGCAATCTCAAATTTGGAGCAGACAGAATCTGGAATAGTTGACCATAGTGACCAATCGGCTTATTTATAGTTTGTCCAGTTAAGCTTTGAAAATGATAAAAGCTGAAGTTTAGCAAAGGAGTTGGCTTAACGATTAGTAAAAGTAAATTCTTGTATAAGGAAGCCCGACATGGCATTCTGCCCTTCACATCAGATCCCCCGCCCCCCCTTTTTACATCAGAAGCCCCTATTTCCATCAAAAGCCATCAAAGTACCCCTTCACACCAGACTCTTCAATCCCTCCTTCACATCAGACTCTTCAGTCCCGCCTTCACATCAGAATCTTCAGTCCCGCCTTCACATCAGACTCTTCAGTCCCGCCTTCACATCAGAGTCTTCAATCCCCCCAATCACATCAGAGTCTTCAATCCCCCCAATCACATCAGAGTCTTCAATCCCCCCAATCACATCAGAGTCTTCAGTCCCCCCTTTCACATCAGAGTCTTCAGTCCCCTGTTCATATCAGAGTCCGCAGTCCCCCTTTCCTGTCCCAGGAGGGCTCCACTCTATGGACGAGCAATTGAGCCACCCTTGGACAGCAGCACTCCAGACAACATTTTAGTATACACCAGCAGTTCTGGATATGCAGTTAGCCAATGTGGTAAAAAGAAATAATATGCATGACTTACTAGGCTGACATGAAGAATATTCTCTTTATTTTTGCCATGTAAAATTAAATAGGATATGTGAATACTTTTTGTTCTAAAAAGGCTTTACTCTGCTACCCTCTAGTTCAGTGGAGGGTTTTTTGGTTCCTTTGGTCATCACTCATTTTAACCTTTTTGGTTACAGCATACTTTCTCATTGAATTCCACATAATATTTTTTCCTGGAACACCCTCATGTCAGCACATCTTGGAGTGGCTCCGCCCTCAGTACCCCTAAGAACAGCCCCTTGCCCAAGCTAATAAAAAAGAATTCCCTCTAAGGAGATATTCCTATTTTTCTGCCCATTCAAACATACGGGCAGCTCCTGTTAGGTTCTTTTGTATGGATCTTATTTTTCCCCTTTTTAAGGCTCTTTTATCCCACCCAGATTCTGCTCCTTTCCAGGTTTGGAGACCCAGTCTCATATTCCTAAATTAATGGAGATCTGGGCACCTAAGTGGCAGGTTCAGACTTGGGTGGTGGTGGCTTGTTTAGGGGGTGCTTATCTGTCCGCTCTCTCTTCTGGTGGGCATTTTGCCCTAGCTAGTTTTCATGGTACCAGTCTCTGCCATTTCCGGTCTTTGCTCTTTTTTCATCTCCCATAGGTATGCTATTATAATTTTCCTTCAGCTTGTGTTCTTTTGGCTTTTTTGTCTCCTCATAGATCTTTGTCGCGTAGAGTTTTCATGGGGCCACCTACGTACCACCTTTAATTAACCTTGGCAGGGGTAGGATTCTAAAAGAAGATGTCAGAAGCAGATCTTCCCAGTGACATTCCTGCGCACACTCTACCCTTGCCCAGTGTATCTAATTATCAGTCAGCAAGATTCTGGGATCTTGTACTGGTGTTCAGGCAGTTACAAGGGAAAGGGGTGTGTGAGTCCTGTCTCTGGGAAGCCACTAGATCCAATGAAGAAGAATCTAGAGACATTTGTCTATACATCATGGAAGCAATAGCAGAGAGTATGGCTAAGTTTATGGAAGTTTATAAATCTTCCTTACCATCCACATTGGCATACAGAGATCGCTGATTCACCATTCTGTCTCAAACTCAATGTTCAGGGGAAGAAGAGGGCACGCGTTCAATATTGTATCGGAGTTACCCTTTATTGAAGCATTAAAGAGTGCATTTATACCAGAAGTTAAGGAGGTGATGGAGGATGAATGGGCATTCCCGAAGAGGGCCTGGACTGACGTCACATTCTGGCTCCCGTCACCTCTACAAGGCACACGAGGGAGCTGTACAAGCAATGCACATATGGATGGAGCTCCGTCAAAGCACAGCAGCCCACACTGGACCCAAGGCTGAGCATCCACTCCAGTTCTCGTAAGATAGGGAGACTGGGTGGATCTTAAAAAAAAGAACAACAGTTATTTTTTTCTAGAGTGTGTATGTGTGGTTGAGAATGTCTGTGAGGGTGTGAGATTGTGTCTGTTGTAAAGTGCGTCTGTCAGTATATGCATGACTAGCCAATTTACACTAGGACAGTGCGTTTATTGCACAGTCCCTTGCGATTAACGCACCTTACCACTCAATCACAGATTCCGTGCATTCTGGTGTGGGAAGTGTGTTGCATTATCATTCACTTGAATGGCACCCCGAACGCAGAGAGCTTCCCTACTATCTGTTCTGGTTTCACCCTAACTGTGTCAGCCCTAGTGTCTCATCAGCTGCCGATTGTACCCAACACGCAGTGTTGTATGTGCTGCTCGTCGGGAAAGGGGATCGGCCGGTCTCAAATTGTCTTGATCCATACTTTAGTTTTTTTCCTTTTTGCCTGGTCAACTCCCGCAGTATTGTTGGTATGGCTTAGTGTATTCTCTCTCTGCAAACCCAGATGTGGTTGATATTTTTCATGCGGGACCTGGGGGAACCCAGATGCCCGTGTATCCTATTTACATAGCTCTCCCTATCCCCCTTTATTTGAGCATCCTTTGCTACTCTGCTACATAGCTATAGTGCACTTGGTGCACCCCCTTGCTCCCTGATGGTGATCCCCGCACCTCTCCTAGCACACCTAATTTAGTATGGGGCCCTCCATCGCAGATGTTTGACTGTTCTGTTACTGTTATGTGCTAACTAGTTTGTTTAATGGTTTACTTATTGCTCACCCTTGCATTTAATGATGTTTGTACCCTTGCATCTCCTTCCAGGTTTTATCTTTGTTTCTTTGAACAGGCCCTTGAAGGCTGAACCCTCCCCTTAAGTTGTAGTGAGGGTTTCTTTTTTGTTTTTCTGCTGGCCCTGGGCTAGAGTTGGCTTACCTCAGTAATTCCTACCGTCTCTGAGGTTCCTTCTGCATCCTACTCCCCCCTTTCTTCCCCATATCCTCCCTCTTCTCTTCCCTCACTGCACTTCCCCTTACCTGTCCACAAGTTCTCCATGTTCCTTTTGCCCTTTTTACTTGCCTTGTCAGCTCCCCCCCCCCATAATCCCTCCCCCCCTCTGGGGTCTGTCACTGTCCCTCTCCTATCTCTAAGGCCAAGGGTGTGAGCATCCTTATATCCAAGTGGGTTGTCTGGTCTTTTCATGACCTTCGCCAGGACTCTATTGGCCGATATATTTTTGTCAAGGGGTTGATTGGTGCTGCATTGGTTACCTTGGTGAACCTGTACCTGCCTAATGCAGACCAGTTATCTTTTCTACAACTTGTCATCCCGTTGCTGCTGGAGTTTGAGGACACCCTGGTCCTCGATGGGGATTTAAACTGTTGACCCTACTCTGGCCATCTCCAGAGATGCATCACACCTCTCTTACTCCCGCATGAAAAAATTCAAAACTGAGTTTCACCTTTACATTTAATGGACATCTGGAGATTCCTTCACCCTCAACTTCGAGATTATACTTACTGCTTTCCAATGCACCACAGCTACTCACACCTGGACTATTTCTTTGTGAGGCATATGGTTCTCCCTTCCGTAGTTGAGGCCTCCATCGGTAGCATTTTGTTTTACGACCACGCACTCATCCACTTTGTTTTGGACGTGGTCTCTCTGCCTTCTAAGAGTCCTTTTCCCTGTCTCATTGCATCTTTGCTACAGGGCACAATAATGTGTATGAACTTGGAATCCTCAATTAGGGCCAACTTCTTGACTGATGACTCTCCCCAGGTTGACCCCTTGACCGTCTGGGAGGCCCACAAGTGTGCCATCTGGAATGTTCTGATCAAAACATGGAGCCCGCAGAAAGAGGGAATGTGCACATGAAATTGAACAGCTTTTTGCCAGATTGTGAGTGTTAGAGGTACATAAACAATCCTTCACACAGGCCCAGCATAACAAACTGGTATAAATCAGACAGGAACTCAATCAACTCCTAAATTCTGTTAGGCAGCACCTAGTGAGGGGTAAGCGCTCCCTTCTCTAACAAACCGGGTAAACTTCTGACAACGGCTCTGAGGTACTCAATCAAGGACTTTTATTACCCATTTACTTTCTCGTACGAGGACAAAACTTTACACTACTGCTATGGCCAGCAAGTTTTGTAGCTTCAATGAAGGCCTATATAACCTTGATAAAGTAGCCCAACGACCCCTTATCAGATTTATTCATATATCATAGACTCCGGTATGCCTTCCCTCTTCCTAGAATCCCGTGACCAGTTGGAAGGTCCCTTTACAAGTGAGGAACTGCACCTCGCCATCAAACAATCCAAATCAGGCAAGGCCCCTGGCCCAGAGGATTTCCCACTGCCCTACTCCAGGAAGTTCTCTTCTCTCCTCTCATTACCTTGCGGCGCTCAATGCTATACTTTCTGGTACGCCCTTATCAGTGGATTCTCTATGAGCACACATTGTGGTCATCTCTAAGCCTGATAACTACAGCATTGAAAGGGGTCTTTATCAATCCCGTAGCCCTTCTAAATTTAGATGTAAAGCGTTAAATGTATGTACCAGGAAAGGATATTTACGGTAAGTAACTGATCATTTTTAGGTAATTAATGGTCTTATATTTGCCTTCAGGCATATTTTGCATCTTTTATAGCATGGTTTAGCGTAGTGGCCATGTTTCTTTGTTATAGGGAGATGTAAACTTAAGTTTTATAAACTACCATACCCTTGCTTTGATAAATACATGCATGCCTTACCAGTCTAGCAGAACGTTATCCGTTCTGCTAGAATTTTTGAAGCCATTGTTTTATTTATTTACAACAATGACAAAAAAGGACTTCAAGTCAGCTGAGGATCTGAAAACTACAGGGAACATATAGCCATTGTAATGAAGGCAAATAAAGGGGTTTTTAGGTTATACTGTCCTAAATTGTGAGATCAACCATAGAAAGAGGTTATAGGACGATGCCAGAACCATTTCAAATATTTAAGTTGGTTTCCTCTCATATGGCACATATCGAAGCGGTAAGGAATGCTTCAGAAGGCAGAATCTTCTACTTAAGAAGGCAGGGACTTCAAGATCAATGTTTTAACATTTACATTTTAACGTTAAATCTAAGACATTCATTTGAGAATCAGAATATTTCTGTATCAACCCCAACACTCAGGAAAGCCAGAAGACTACTTCCCTGCATTCATGCAATTATATTGAAATGGTTTGCTTGTACCGGCAGCTGTGGTATACTGTCTTGCTAACACTGCCTACGACATGTGGCCTGTGTGCATATGTGGAGGCATATGTATGCGTGTTTAGATGTAAAAGGAAGGAGGTTTATAAAGAAATGAATATATTAGTTAAACCATAACACATAATGAAATGGAAAATCTATTAAACGTGTAAGACAAAAAAGAAAGACTAGACTCCATCTCACCTGTGTCAAATGTCATTTTAATCTTTCTGAATGAAAGATTTTCACAGTATAAAAAGTAAATAATAATAATAAAAAAAATGAAAACAAAAACACAGCAAAGCCAATATACACTTGGCGAACAGAACGTTAATAAAATCCAATGCCGAATCCAGAGAACTGGACCTGCTTATCCTGCTCATTTAGTCCAGAATCCCATGGTGTAGTCGAGCATAGCACCAGCTGTCAGGTAAAAATAATAACATGAAAAAGATACAGAGGGGAAAAAAATAAAGACATACCATTATTTCTGTCTCGCTCTACTGTAGCCAGATACATTATTTTGGTTGGCAAAAGACAATACATGGGAAACACACATAGCAGAGGAAAAGGGGCTACTAAAAGGTGCTCTGGTTAAAATGGCGGAGTACCTTCCCCAATGCACCCTTCTGAAGGCTTACACAAGACGCAGAGTGGAGGAACAGAAGTGATGCAAGTGCTTGATAAAAGGATAGGATTAAGGGATGGAGTATTAGATTTAAAAGAATGGTGGCTTATGCTCCTACAGTCCTCTTAGTGGGACTGACAGCAAGTCGTTAGCTATCTTGAACATGATAAAGATTCTAATGCGGTATCTAAAATCCGTTAACTTGTGAGATTAGAATTGTCTTGGTATATCTTTCAGGACCTAGCGGCCAGGAAGGGGAGTGAAACAGTTTAGTTTATGAAGGCCATTGACATTGGTGTGACCACAATTATAAATTGATTTGTGAGGAAGGGCTATCTTCCCACACAGGTAGAAAGCATGCTTCATGTTAGGCAAGGAAACAAAGACCAATTATGAAACCTGATGATAAAAAACATCTTGATAGTGGTGATGAGGCTCATTGGCTGTAGCAGCCTGTGCTATGATCCGTTTGTTCCTACCAGTCAATCTTATCTGCTGCCCATCCCTAGTTTTAAAAATGTCTACACTTAAAAGGCACCTGTAGCATTTAAAAGTCCGTAGTCAGGAAGACTAACAGCTCTACAAGCCTTTCCAAGATTAAAAACACTCAAACAGTGGCAGAACTATGCACATGAAAAGAATCGCTGACTGAAGGTTTTCAAGCTGCTAAAAGCTTTTCTGTTGTTACGAGATGTTCACAGATTTGTTGCAAGTTCCTGCTGCAGCGAATAAGGAGGTGAGCGTTACCTTCGGGCCCCTGCATATGGCCTGCATGTAGAAACCGTTTCTCCTTAGATTTAAAAAAAAAAAAATACCACAGCAGCTCAAATAACGCAGCCGTTTTTATATATATATTTTATTTTTTTCTTATAATAAAGTGATCATTTTATTGTTCCCTGTGTGAACCTAGTGTAGTGGTAACTTAAGAAACTGGGGTTTAAAAGTTTGGGAAAAATGGTGAACATTGACATTCCAAACATTATGGCATGTAGGATTTGCTCTCAGAACACGCAAATATCGTCCGTGTCACTTCACTGGAGGGGAGGGTGCCACGTGTGATGCCAACAATGAAGACCTGAATTACAAGAGCTATAAAATGCGGTTTGCCATGATAGAAAATATACAAATAAAAAAGGGCAGTGGAGATGCAATATTAAAAACCTTTAAAACAGCTTGTGAAAGTGTGCAAAATGGAGCAGTGGGGAACCAGAGGTCAGAGGTCTAGTTAAAACAAGTGGACTGGTGACGTTAGAAGAAAGGGGAAATATAGGAAGTGCAGGCATCATTGTGCCACATCGGAAGTGGTTTTCTTCAGGCTAAAGTTGGTCCAGTTTACCGCCACCTTCTGCCGTGTCTGCTTGGCAGAGTCCAGACAGAACCTGGGAAAGAAGGAGACTAGATTAATATTGTAGTTTATGACTATTTTTGTTGTCAAAGCATAATACGGCTGGGTCATTGGTCTAATTCAGCGGTGGCGAACCTATGGCACGCTTGCCACAGAGGGCACGCAGAGGCCCCTCTGGTGGCACGCGAGCCTAGGTCCCGATTACAGTGACCCGCACACTCCAGGTGCAGGTCACTGTAAAGTCATGTTACACTATTACACAAACTCCATCTTTCTTTTTTTTTCTTCTTTTTCTTTTAGTTTTGGATAGAGTTAGAATACATTAGGTCTTTAACGCTGTATAATTATCAGGCAGATTTTCTCTTATTTCCAGTCCCAGTAACCAGACAGTAAGAAGGTTCTTCCCAACAAGGACACAGATGATAATAAAAGAAACAGCAGCTCTCCTATTCCTATCTGGCAGGTTCTATGGAGCACAAGCAAAACACAATACATACTGGACCTGTATACAATACAGATTAAATCAGACCTAAAGTGACCCACTGCAAACATACCCATATGTAAATACAGCCAGACCTCTATAGAATAGAGTTCTCACGTCTCACCTCTTGAAATATTCTACTTCCCGATCAGTCTCATCCATTTCCGTGCTGTCTACATCCTTAGGAAGGAACACATCATCTACAAGAAGAGAGAGGTTTTCAGAAAGTACAACAGAACAGGAACAGAAAAAACAGTTTAGCTGTGTAGATTGAAACTTCAGATTAGAACTACAAGCTTTCATGGCAGTTTAGATCTCTAAAGCTGGCCACACACATACTTGTACACTCTGATTTTCCTTTAGATTCATCAACTATGTTCTACCTAACCAACCAGTCAGTTTATTTCCAGTCAGTCTGGCCTTTCCACTGCACAACAGTTAGTAAACATAAAATAGACTATGGTATTTGTCCAGCTTTCAGCTGGCAAGGTATAACACAAAGTTATATTTCTCACAATTTATTTGGATGAAACATAAAAACTTCTCTTTCCAAGCTTCCTCCAACCTCCCAGTTTGAAATGGGTACACATTTCCACATCTGTAGCGCTGACCCAAATACTGCACCCAACATTGAGGTGCGCTATGCCAAAGATCTCCATTACTTCCCCAGGAAGGCCCACTTATTGGCACAGCGGTAATAGCACAGGTAGGTCAGAGTTTTCAAAACAAGGGCACTACGAGGTGCTCTTTTATATCAGCGGTGTAATCTCACCCTGAGGACTTGATCACACATTCCCATGAATTTTAACACCTGTTGTGACTCTGAATCTATGTAAATAACAGGCTCTCCCAGGATGACTGCGGGAGCCTCTGATAAGGGACACTTGTGCTTCAGGTGACTTCAAGTCCCTGAAAGTAATTGACCAGTCTTCTCTGATACAGAGGCACACACGGTCTTGTTGATGATTATGACAAAAGGTATTAAACAGTCTGTATGAGGCACCATGGCAGACCATTTGTCATAACATTTAATTAACTCTGATCTCTTCTGATGAATGGACACTGCGTGTTTGAGGAAGGAACTACTCAACAGCTGTATCATTCACCTACATACAACCATTTCCTTCAATGTATGACTTGAAAGCAGATAATTTCTTTTTTGGCACCCATTCGCAATAACTCTTGACTGCCGTATTACTATCAATTCCTTGAATTATATTTCCTACTCAAACATGAATGGTAACTTGGCAATACATTTAAGACACGCTCTCCATATAGCATTGCTTATGGCACTACCTTATTTCAGCTTAACCAACATAAAACAATAGGAATCCCACTAATGATTTTTCAAGCCATCCAATCAATGGCAGGCCACAAACCAACTGATCCTGCTCAGGACCAATGGTCCAATGTGTTGCTTGGATAAGGATGAGGCTTTTAAGTGGAGCAGCTAGGTAGCCATAATGCAAGCTTCACATTCTGGAAATGTCAATTATTTTTCATGAAGACTGTTGGAAAATGTGACCAAGACAATTCAATCCTCTTCTCAATAAGTGGAAAGGAAGGTAGTTACTGCTCATTTGGAGTTTTTTTTTAAAGAAGCAGGAGGAAAATAATTTTCCCACCTACTGTATTCAGAAAGACACCAGCCCATCTATTGCTAACCACTGTTCCAACAGTCACTACTTAACCGCAGAATCTAATTCATATCTACACACATATCTTGCAATAATGTATCGCTGATATACTAAAGATGTAACAATGAAGAAATCAACCAAAGTGGAGGTATTGCCAATTAACACCAATCAGGTTTTGTTTTTTCATTTCCTAGGAAAAAGTTTTCCCCCTGGAGTAATCTGTTTCGGTTTTTATATGTCTGAACCAGTGTATATATGCATTCAGTAAAAAAAAAAAAAAGAAAACAAGAGCTAAAAAAATGTGAAAACATACCAACGGAAATACGAGGTTTATCCGTTTTGTTCCTACTCTTCTTGGATTTGCTTTTAGACCCAGCAGTGACTCTGGCATCTGTCCTTTCAGATCCACCAGGCTCACTTTTCTCTTTTTCTGACCTGGTGATAACTGAATTCACAGTGTCTGGTCCTTGACTTGAAGTCTCTTCTGTTTTCTCAGGTAAAGGCTTCCGCTGGGCTTTTGCTCCTGTTGTACTGATTCTAGGTGGCGCAGCTTCCCAAATATGAGGTTCACACTTTCGTGTTTGGAGGCTCGTTTTTTTGCTCTTCTTTGTACGACCTCCAGTGAGAGACACTCCTGGCTGAATTTGGGGTCTCTGATTTTCAGAACTAACTGATAACTGGTTTTCTGGGGTACTGGCAGAATTTGTATCCCCACTTTCCCCAGATTCTGCGTTCTGCTGAGATTGAACCCAGATCATTCGAGAGAGATTAGGAACAGCACTTAGCCTTTTCACAACACCATTTTCTGTAGATTGAGTAGAAGTATTGACTTCACTCTCTGTCAATTTTTCATCCTTTGAAACACCAAGTGTTAGGGGAGACAGGTCAAGATCAATCTCTTGGAGATCAGAGGAACCATTGAGGTGGGACAGCAAGTTTTTCTGCTCCAGAACAGCTGCTTTTTTGGGAAAATCGTTGACATCGAGATTTAGATCATACACACTAAAGCTAGCCCTGATAGAGTCTTTGATGGTATTCTTGATCTCTTCAAGCCGGCTTGTTAGAAAACTGTTTACTCGCTCCAACTCAAGCTGAGGCCACTGAAGCAACTTCTCGCCTGAAGATGGAGCCCCCATATCTTCCACAGATGAACTAAAGATGTCAGATGACTTCTCAGCATCAGCTTCTTGAAGGGCTTTCTCCTAGGCAAAATGAAAAGAAAAAAGTTAAAAAACCTGATGAAAATGCAAAGTTTTCAAAGTCTACATAAATTGCTTCTGCAATTTGGAGTCTTTGGCATCTTCTGGAATTGTGCATGGATGAATACAAACGATCAGATCCTCATTTAATGTCATCATAATAGAGTGTTATTTAACTAACACACACAACATTGTATACAGTCAATATTGAATATCAAACTCCAAGGTCATTAGCCAGAGTCTTATATTCTAGTTCATGAGTTAGATGTTCCATGTATATCCAATAGTGGATGTTTTAGAAAGATTAGTGTAAAAACACCTAGTGCAATCTTCAAATAGTATAAAGTAACCCTAAAGGTGCCCATAGACTGTGCAAATTTCAGCTAGTTCTTGAGGAAGCTGCCATAATTCACACAGTGGGCACCACTGTCGGCATCTGCTCAGCCGGCATCCCTTGATCAGCCGATTAAAGGAGCTAGTCAGAAAATCTTCATACACACAGAGCCGGCAGGCAAGGAGCTCCCAGCTCTGTTTGGGTATTCTGACAGGCCAGTGGCCACTGTCAGAATACTAAAGAAACAGCAAGGACTCCTCGATCAACGTGCTTGTTGCATTGATGGAGGAATCGGCTCCATTTTTTTTCCCGTTCAGCCCGCAGGTTGAATGTAAAAAAATAGAGCAGTGCATGGCCAGCTCAACAGTTAAGGATGTAAAGGTACCCTGAGCACTTGATGATCCATGTGTTTTCCATTATTAAAACTCTGAACAAGATTTGTGTTTATCAGAGCATACCGCTTGTCAACTAAATATCACCCGTGTGATTTAATTACAAGTTGGAGGTTCCACTAATTACTAAATATATGTACTACAATTACAGATTTCAAGTGTTTCTTTACCCAATGCAAAGCAACATTTTCATTTCAATTTCCCCATCCTCAGAAGATTACCTGTGCTCCCCCACTGCCGGAAGCAGGCGATGCCTTGCTGTCTAAGCTGGAGTTACTGAAGTTGAAGATTACACCGAGTGACATTGGTGGTGCTTGGCCCACTGCTGTCACAAGGAGTCACATGCTCCTTCATACCTGGAAGTCATTGGTAATTCTTCACTTGCCGAAGGAGAGGTGGGAGAAAGAAAAAAAAAAGAAAAAAAAAACGAAGTATGTGCTGCTGGGGAAGAGAGGACTAAGGCAAACCTGTTTGCATCTGCATAAGTAAAAGCACAGGATGGCTTTAAGGAGGGTTATATCTGAAAATCTATAAGTAATTCCTACAGTAAATTTAGCAACTGTACTGAAACATTTTAGTTAAGAGGTGCACCGAAATAAATGTAAAAATCGAAACGAAACCTATCCCCTGTTATCAATAAACAGGAATCCTCTATGAGTGCTCCTGTTCATTGATAACTTGAGAATATAGTAGGATTACTATAACTACAACTATGAATGAACAGGAGTGTATATAGATAACTCCCATTCATTTATAATTGAGGATATATTAACCATACCATATCCTCAATTATCTACAAACACTCAGTGGTCACTGATCGCTGAGTGTTTGTAGCCTGCTCTCCTCTCTGACACACACTGTCACAGGAGGCTGATTGAGCGGTGCGAGAGGAGAGCCCAGCCTCCTGCGACAGCGCTGTCTCCGCCCCCACACCGCTCTGCCGCACTGTGATAGGCGGCCGAGCGGTGTGGGAGGAGAGACACCGGCCGCTCACAGCGTTCTTGTCCCGCAGCGCTCGGCCGGCTGTCACTTTCTCTCCT